TGCGTGCTCTTTCGCTTCTGCTGGAATACGATCCCTCCTCTCCTCATCTCGCAAAACCAAGTCGGACCCCGCAAATCGTCCTCCCGGTCTTCCCAGATTATTCCGTTCAACTCTCAATCTCTTGCCGTTTGCAGAGAGAACCGATTCTTCTCTCGACGGACCAAACACCAAACCCTTAGTGGGCTTCTGGACTCTATTTATTTTGGGTCGATATTGATAATTAGCTGGGCCTTTAGAGTTACCACTCATCCTCTCTTTACTAACACCATTCGGCCCACTAGGCCCAGTCTGCCCCTTGATCGATTCTGTCCCGAACACAATCTTCTTTCCTTGTGTTCCACTCTTCTCATTTACATGCTGGATCTCAGGATCCATATTCCCCTTATTCGCCCCTGTGTCATAACTCCCTCCGTAATCACCTCAGTTTCCATATCAACATTCAAACTACCAAAACTGTTCGCGATTGCAATATTCGCTATCCCCTTTCCTTTTCCCGAACCCCTTGAACTTCTTGCCATATCTGGTCGTATCTCACTGGTCGGAGTAACCATCTTATTTTTCTGCGCCTCCGACCGTCTGCCCCGGGATCGTACCTGAGTAAATCCATCCTCTGCCACATTACCTCCACTACCTCCACCAACTGGTCCAACTCCAACAATTCTGTTCGACTCATTAACCTCTGCGGCCTTCTCCTGAACATTCTTTGGGCACCCATGGACTGAATGGCCATACATTCCACACAGCGAACAGATGTTTGTGAGCCCCTCATACGCGACATAATACCTCTCCCCATTGATCAGAATAGACCCTTTAAGTGGTTTTGAAAGATTCACCTCAATGCAAACCCTAGCAAACCTTGCCCTTTCGAAATTCAAGGTCGTTATATCCACCTTCACTGGCTTCCCCAAGCCTTTAGCAATTCCCAACAAAATCGCTTTGTGGTAAAAATTCACCGGAATATTCGATAAACGGACCCATACCGGCGTCGTGTTTATCTCATCTCTAAGTGGATCAAAAATGTTGATATAGTATGATATTTCCTCAAACCATTTTTTCTGCGTTATAGTAGTAACCCTTGTTTGAAAAATCGCTAGGCGCTAGTCGGGCGCTCGGCATGGGCCTAGCGATTAATCGGAAAATCGGATTAAAATCGGAGATTAATCAGGGATTAGTTTTAGGGTTATTTTAATATTTTTAAAACATATTAATCCAATATTATTTTTAAAATTGCAGTAAACACATAAAAATGTATTTTTGAGACAAATATTTATGATTTTTATTAAAATATGAACATAAATTATTTTAAAACATTACAAACTCCCAATTCAAATGATTGAATAACAAAAATAAAAAGTTTTTTTATACTGGCAATCTAAAAATAATCGGGGTATGTAAGATTAGGCGGGGAATAATCGGATTAGGCTGGGAATAATCGGATTAGGCGGAGAGTAATCGGGTGACTGATTTCTTTAAGGGATTAATCATTAATCGAGGCGGATAGGGTGGGCCTAGCGATTAAGTGGGGAGTAATCGGGTCTAAGCGGGGATTTTTAGAACAGGGGTAGTAACTAATGTCTCTGCGTCAATGTTCACAATGCATGCTTGGTACATATACAAAATCTGGGAAAATGTGTTTTGGAATTTAGCTTTATTTCGTACCATCTTATTTGAAAGCGTACAAAAACAATTTTTTATAGGAAATATCTCAAACGATATGATCTAAATGTATTCTGACATGTATCATTAAAATGTAATATCAGAAGCGATATTTATATTTTCTCCAAAAAATTAAATAAAATTACAAAAAAAAACAAAATTTCTTATCGCTATTCATCATCATATATATTTCTTCTCTCACTTTTTCATATTAGTTAAAACTAGTTGAATTGGAATGGTGTAAAACGCATATATATGGTATAACAAAACAGTAAAAAAACAATACTACTAATACGTATCTTGATTGTAATGTATAAAAAGTATGATTAGCATATGATTGTAACTATATTTTTGAGAAATTACAAGAATTCAATAGCCTAAAGTATATCCATTTTTATTTATACAAACTAGTAAAAAATACTCATCCAAAAATTTACATGAAATCCTAAAATCAACCATTTGAAAAAGAAAAAAAATCTGTAAAAAATGTATTGAGGCCCAAATATTTCTCTTACCCTAGTGTTCTATCTTAATGGGACCGAGGGAGCTGATTGAAACGATACCTAAGTATGAGATATTGAAGATCCAAACATTGTGATAGTGAGAGAGCAACAAGCTATCCATTGGTGCATGTTACTTCACTTGTGGGACCATTTCTTTTATTTGCAAGCTTACGAAATGTATTTGTTTTTTGTATTATATATTACAATCCAATACTTTTCTAAGCAAAATAAAATTATATAATCCAATCCAAAAGAAGAAAACACAGAGAAAGGGGAAAACTCTAAATAAGAAAGACCTAAGACGGTGTCGTAGAGCTTGGACAGGATAAAGATTACTGTCGTGAAGTGTGTTAAATGGGACGGCAGAAAAGTGACAAAAAAAACAGCACGTGAATCACGTGAAGAGTGCCTGTTTTATTATACGAGAGGTTGGGGATGGCCCATTGGGCCTTTTCTATATATAGTTATATTTTTCGTTTTTCTATTTATTATTACATGCAATCAAACAAATTTGACGTTTATGTGCTTTGTCCTTTCCTCAATTAGTACCCGTGTTCAAAAAATCGCTAGGCGCTAGTCGGGCGGTGAGGGTGCGCCTAGCGCCTAGCAAGAAAATCGGGGATTACACGGGGATTAATCGGGGATTAGTTTTAGGGCTATTTAATATTTTAAAAACATATTAATCAATTATAATTAAGAAATTTATATAATATTGTTTTTAAAATTGTATTAAAAACATGAAAACAAGATTTTAATTTCAAATTTATGATTTTTATACAAATTACGAACATAAGTAGGACGTTTTGAATTTTAGATGAAAAAAAAAGTAAAAAAAAAAAAAAAATTGGGCTAGGCGCCGTCTAGGCGGACAAAAAATCGGATCTCCGATTTTTCTCACCGATTTGGACAAAATCGCCGCGGTGCTCCTCCGATCAGCGCCTAGGCGGCCGCCTAGGCGGCTAGGCGGCCGATTTTTAGAACAGGGATTAGTACTATCTTTCTACATATTAAATGGTTTTAGGAGATTTGTTAGTTAGTAGATTTTATATACAGAAAGAACATTATGGGATATTTGATAATTGATTTTGAGGTTTTTGTTAAAATTTTGTGTTATTCATCTAATAATTTTTAAATATCAGTTGAAATTTGTTATATATATCATAACACATTTTATACTTTAAAAATTAGAATAATTCTAAATCTGAATTAGAAAGAAAATACTATATGTTAAAAATAATAACATCTAGTATTTTCTTTCTAATTCAGATTTAGAATTATTATTTCTAACACATTTAAGGTGGAGTTACGTCCACTTTCGTCAGTACGAATTTTACTATAATCGAAGTTTTAGTTAACAAAATTTTTATTCACTCGATTGTCTACACCAAATAAAAGAATGGTAGAAACAGAAAAATAAGAAGGGAGAAAACTCTATAACAAACAAGTAGAAGCATGACATACTCAAAAAGATTAATGAACATTCTATTCGACCATATCGTTATCATGAGACAATAGCTTTTCTAGCTAAATTTTTTGAATGAATTTCATTCTAAAATCGATAATACATTTTTCATGTTTGAAACAACAATGTGAACTCTAATACTATATTAAATTTTATAAAAGTCTAATTTAAAATAATCAATTATGTATCCATTTTTATATATATGACTCACTATTAGTTCATTATTGTAGTCCTTAGCAAAAAGAAAAAAAATAAAATAAAAGAATTTTTACCACGCCATATAAAATTATAAAATAAGAAAATCTATAATCATGTCATCTTTTTTCTTATCATCGTAAATTCTATTTCGAAGAAAATGAAAGAAGACGCCAAAAGAAAGTACATTGTCTTCTTACATGGCACAAGTGCAGCCATCCAAATCTCCACATAAACTTAGAGATACATTAATGGGATTGATTTTGCATTTTTATCTATGCGGTCAAATCGAAGTTGGGTTTTCATAGTAATGGAATCTAAAAAACTATTCGTATGAAATTATGAATCTATAAGGCGGGGCCAGCTTTTGGTTGTGTTGTTTTTTCGTCTTTAGCCTTAATACAAACATCGATCGCAGCTTCTCAGAGTAATGAATTGTGTCTCCTTTTTTTCTTCTACGTTTCCTAAATTTGTTTTTCTGTAATATATTTATTTATCTTGGCCGACAAAAAAATTGATACGACGAAGGAGGAATATATTTTCAAAAGTTAAAAGCTAGTGGTAATGTTCTAAATATTAAATTACTTTCTTAAGAGTCTGAACGTTCAAAAAATTTAAGAGGACACCTAATATATCAAGTTTGAGAACGAGAGTATTGCCAGGTGAAATAATTTAAAAGATGTCTTAATATTACTCCTATTTAATAGTTGAGGACAATTTTTATACGTTTAGTGGTCTATTTGTCGAACCTGATATCCACTTGGTCTTGTTGACAACTTTGATTTCGACAATTTGGATTTATTTTTTCAATCCTGTATTGTGTGTGTGTACGTTTTTTTTTTTTTTGATAAACCCATTTACGTCTATCAAATGCACATAAATTGATTTTTCGGTCTGTTATGTTCGGTCAAGTTTCTCGTTTATATATTTAATTTCGAAAAATATATTAAATATCGAAAATATATTAATAATTTAATATTGTTTAATTTATATTTTTCGACATCAATATGACAATATAGCTATAGCCTTCATTGTGAATATCTTCAATTTTATTTTCTTAACATCTGTTACAAATATACGACTTGCCTGGCCAACACTTTGGTATACTGTTTTTTCTTTTTCTTTTTCTTGATAAAAGGCTTTAACATTAGAGACTATAAAAAACCATTTCGAACCAAATCATGAGTCGACCCAATGGAGTACATATATTTTATTTATTTGCTACTTTTATTTTACACCAGACAACCTAAAGCAAGATAATAAAAGAAACAAAAAAGAAAAAAAAAGTCACCTTCTGGACTGGACCACAACACTGTCTCCTCAATTTTAGAAACTTCTTCTGTTCTTAAGCCAAATTGAGAACTCTTCAAGAGTGTTCATGTCTGCCCTATAATGCTTCTGTGTGAACTCAAGAAACATAGACCATGTAAAATCAGGATACTCTCTTTGACCAGACATCACTCCTCCTACTAGTTCTTCGGGTGGCTTCACCACTTTTTCTCCTTTCGGACATAGGAAGAATGCAAATGTCTTCCTTTCTCTCTCGCTGTTCACTACCGCCCGATGCAAACAACTCTTGTATCTTCCATTCGTTAGAGCCTAAATATGATTATAAAGCAAAAACAAAGAAAAAATGTTAGAAGTTTCTTGTCATTAATTTGATCTACCAATGCATGTATTGATCATAATAAGGAGACTATATAAGTACCATGAAGGTGTCGCCTATATTCACCACGAAAGAGTGAGGGTTAGGAGGAATTGATTGCCATTTGTTGTCCACGAAAACTTGAAGACCACTAACTTGGTCTTGATGAAGTATGGTTAGAGATGTTGGGTCGCAGTGGGGTCCTGTCCCTAGTGCAAGCTCCGGTTGCTTGCACTGCGGGTAGTAATTCAACCGAAATATTGACTCGTTCTCTTCGAAAAACTCTCTAAAATATCTCCTCTCGAGCCCAAGACTCATTCCAAGGAGCTCCATGATCTTTAGTGAGAGAGTGTTCATGGCCTCCGCGTATTCTTGATAAACCTTCCTGCATGCATGCATAAAATCACACCAATTATATCAGTCTTCTTGGACATTTATAAGAAAATTTCAACATTTGCTAATTTGAGTATTACCCGAAATCTTCGTATCCATCTCCCATTTTCTTAGAAACATACTCTTTTACGGTTTCGGTATGTATCTTCTCCTCGGGAGAGAACTTAAACGACAGCGTTTCCTTCCACGGGAGCTTCGAGGAGAATCTCCCGACGAAGCTACTAGCGTAACCGGAGCTCTCACCCCAATTCCTCTGAGCCTTCTGTTTCTCACAAGCCGGGGCCTTAAAGAAAGAGTCCATATGCAGATAGGCACGGGACAAGAGGCTCTCATCGACACCATGGTTAGTGACTAGGAAGAAGCCATGTTTCGTTGCAGCCTCCGAGACGAGTCTAGTAGCCTCCGAGACCAAGAACGAGTCGCCGGAGAGGAAACCGGATAGGTCTATGAGAGGAACTTGGAGAGGTTGAACATCCGTAGAAGGTTTCTCGTGGTCAGGCCATACGAATTGTTGAGGTATGTGGTTTGAGTGCTGATTTAGGAGCTTTGCATCGAAGATCGAAGAATCCTCTTTGGTCTTGTTTTCACTAAATCTTTGAGGGACCGTTGCTATGCATTCCATTGCCATTTTTTAAAATCTATGTATAGATATCGTAGATCCTTTTAAGAGCATCAATAAGACCATCTTTAACGGTGGTGCCTTAGCATAAATCTTAGGAAATAAAGAATTAAAATTAAATGAAAAATGGTTTTAATCTTAAGAACGTTGCTTAGTTAAGCAACATTTATTTATCTAAGCGGCGGACAGGTGTCACTCAGAGACAAGAGAAAGAAAAAATTGCCCCGATTTCATTCTGTCGTTTACGCGTTTCTCTCTCTCTCCACGACGAACATCACAGACAAGGAGGAGGAGACTAGGAAGATCGATTTTATCAATCTCGATTGAAAAAAATGGTACGTTTTATTATTTCTCAGTTCATCGTTTTATTCAGTTAATTGTTATATTTGTCAATCACTTGATTTAACTTCTATTCCTTGAGGTGGAAAATTGGGGATAAACCATGTTTGTTTATTGTAATGGATCTCCAAAGCCCTAAAAGTATTTTTGATTGATTGTGATTGTGATTGCGATTAGTATGAATCTCTTTGGAGATTTATGGTTTTCGATGCTAGGATTTGGTTCTTGGGTTTGATTTTTTTGGAATAATTTGATCTTTCGTGATTATCTCACTCGATTATCATATTGTTTGTTGGTAATTTGAGAATTTTTGTTAATAACTTGATTCGTTTTGACAATTTGATAATTGCCAGGTTTTAGCTTGTTATCGAAATTGTCTCTATGATTTGGCTAATCTAATCAATTGCTTGCGTTCTGTTTTTTTTTTTTTACCTTTTTGATTATTGAGGATCATATCTGGTTTTGTGTTTTCATTTACTGAAAGTTCGTGATATGAATTCTATTGTTATGATTGTTATTACAATATAGTTTCGGAGAATTTCCGGTTGTTGGAGGAGCTTGAACGTGGGGAGAAAGGTATTGGGGATAGAACTGTGAGCTATGGAATGGATAATGGAGATGATATCTATATGCGTTCTTGGACTGGCACCACCATTGGTCCTCACAACGTAGTTATATCTTTTTCTTTATCTACTTTTGTCCTCATATCTGCAACTTAACTATGTTAGCAATTGTTTTAAGAAGCATTGATTAAAGTTCTAAGTTATCTTCATTACTAGTTCAATTTTCCCTTCCTTCATTGCTAGACTACAAAAGTCAAAACCACATTGTGTTTTAGGCATCAATCTTATCGATACATGATCTCTTACGCTGCATTTTTTTCTTTTGCTTTTGTTTAGTCTTCCAGTTGTTTCCAGTTTCATCTTTGTTTACGGTTTGGTTTGGACAAGTTTGGTTGGACCAGTTTCATTAGTTTCATCTTTGCTTTTCAAGTTTGGTTGAGTCATCTTACATGTGGATCATCTTTGTTCTCTAATTAGCAACATGTCTCTGTGAATGATTGCACACCACAAAACATTATTTTTATATCATGTATTTGTGTTCTTTTCCTAGTTTGTGTTCTTGTACCTAACTCTTTATTTTTTTCCATATATACAACACTTTTGTTTTACAAAAAACACAAACACTTCTCTCCATCTCATCAAACCACTCTTTCATTGCTATATATGTGTTGTAACCAAATTTTTACTAACACTTTTAAGAACCAAAAAATTTAACCAAAACACTTCAAATTTAACCAAAACACTTACAATTTTTAAGAACCAAAACATTTAAACTTCAAAAATTAAGTTTTCGTTTGCAACAGTTATTAAGTTTTCTAAAATTAAAATTGTTAAATTAATTTCTTTTTAAAATTAATATTTTTTTTCTAAGAACCACATGTTAAGAGCCTACCATTAAAGATACATAAATCTTAACCCAAAAATGAAAACTCTTAACTATCTTTTTTACAAAATTAATACTTAAATACTCTTAAGAACCAACAATAAGAGACCCTTGATAATCATGCTCTAACGTTGGTATGCTATGAGATTTCTTAAAAGATAAAAAGTAATAATATTTTAATTTTGCAATATATTCTAATATTTTAATAGAGATAGATCAATGACAGAGCTATACGTGTTTTTAGTTTGTAAGAATGTCTTTAATCTAAGAACTTTTAGACATTCTCTCTTTCTTTTTTTAACCTTTTATTATTTTTCTTTATTTTTATTGCTAAGAGTTATACTAAGAAACTAACGTTAATGGTGCTCTAAGGCTTAAAAGGTTTTCAATATATATAAAAATAACGTTGAGGGGCTTATATTTTAGTGGTCCGTAAGTGGGATCGAGGAAAAGAGAGGTATTTATAGGTGTGAGAGGGAAACTTTAGGTGCAGGGAATAGTACGTAAGCGGCATTTGGGAGGTTGGTGTTTTTTTTTTGGCTGTAAATGGTAACATATAATTTTTAGATGAATTTTGGCTGTATTTTTTTTTTTTTTTTTTTTATTTATTTAGTGGCTGAATTGGCTGTATTATCGACTATATTAACTTTTGAATGGGCTGCAATTCGTAGATAAGACAAAACAGCTGAAAAAATCATCTTAAATTCTTGTTTTTCTTAATAGTACATATATATTAGGAGAAATTAGATATTATCTTGATATAAAATTTTAATTGTTATTCGAGTATTTAAGCCGTTTATAAAGATAAGAAACCATTAGAAAGTTAATCTTTCTTTTGAAAATAGGGATTAATTCAAGTATAATTTTAGTTATAAATTTATTTCTTTGCAAATAAATGAAGTCAATTGAAAATTTAAGTGGTGAAAAATGATTGTTAAGTAATACAATGAATGTTTTAGTTCAAAAAAAAAAAGTAATACAATGAATGTTTATTTATCCTTTTATTTAAAAATTACAAATTGATTGCCATTAATCGCAAAACCGAAATATTGAACGACCAAAACAGTATATTTAAATTCTAAACCAACCCAAACCGAATAAACCAATATTACTTAAAATCTACATCTGTAGTTATGTATACATATTTAAAACAAATGCAATCATATTTAAAAAACTTAATATTTAATTTTAATAGTATTTCTATGATAAAATTATGTTTAGTAAATGATTAATTAACTCACAAATGCTCACATGCAGGTTTGAATCCATGTTATGGCATATAATGATATTACTAAAACAAACTATTAGGCTACAAAACCCAGCCAATTACTATTAGCAAATGAGAAGAAAAAAAAGACTGAAAAAGTTCATGATGAAACTAAACATGTGATTCAGTGAAGTTAAAGCATGGGATAGAAAAAAAATTTCGTCGTCCACAAAAAAAAAATCGTATGTACGAATCACAAAATGATCATCCATTTTATATACTGATAACTATTCTGTTAATTATACATAATATCTCTGTTCCAAAAATTCCCGCCTATCCCGATTACTCTCCGCTTAATCGCTAGGTTCACCCTCTCAGATTAATGACTAATCCCTTAAAAAAATTAGTCACCCGATTACTCTCCGCTTTATTCGATTAATTCCCACCTAATCCGATTATTTTCTGCCTATTCTTACATATCCCGATTATTTTTTGATTGCAAGTATAAAACAACTTTTTTTTAATTCAAACATTTGAATTGGAAGTTTGTGATATTTTACAATAATTTATGTTCAAATTTGAATAAAAATCATAAAAATTTGCTCTAAAATATATTATTATGTGTTTACTGTAATTTTGAAAACAATATTAGATTAATATATTTTTAAAATATTAAAATAACCCTAAAACTAGTTCCCGGTTAATCTCCGATTTTAATCCGATTTTCTGATTAATCGCTAGGTACATACCGAACGCCCGACTAGCGTCTAACGATTTTTCAAACAAGACATAATACAGTGACCCTGCCTGAGCCATATCTTAAATTCCTCTAAATCCGTCCGTTTCAAAAGTTCATAAGAAAATGAAAGTTCCATCGTTTTAGTGAAAAGTTTTTATCATTTCAGTAAAACGGACGGGTCATCAGTAAAATGAAACTCATTTATTGATAAGGAAAGCTGTTGGGCTTGGTGAGGCCCATCATAGCTTTATAACGCTCCGACACCGACAACCAGGGGCGGAGCCAATTAAGAGAGAGGGGGTCAGTTGACCCCATAACATTTCAAAGTTTTAAAATTATAAGGTAAATTATCTATGATTTTAGATATTTTGGTACAAAATTTCCTAGTTGACCCCTATGTCATGCCATAATTTTATGTCTTTGACCCCATTCATATTTATTTTTTCATTCAACATTAATTTTCTTTCTATGTTTGTTTTGTTTTTTTCTAAAAAATGATTACAATTCTCTAATAGTTTTTTTACATATTGATTATTTCTCTTTGTATCATCGGATATCTTGTTTTTTTTTTGTTCTTTTTCTCAAAATTGTTTTGACATATATTTCTATAAAATATCATAAATCAAGATAAATATATTATTTAATATTAATATGTAATTAAATAATAATAATAATATATATGACCCCTATAAACAAAAATCTCCTGGCTCCGCCACTGCCGACAACGATAGCCGAATGGTATAAAAACAACAAACAGTTGGTGGTAAAGAATCAAACGTTACATCATTTTAATATTTTAAAGCTGAGCAAATGAAAAAAGTTGCTTATTAGTATTTTGTTTTGTTATGCATGTTTAATGAAAGATAACAACAAAAACTTAAAGATTAAAACAGTATATATATATATATATATATATATATATATATATATATATATATATTTTAAACGAAAAGTTATCCAAAAGAATCTCTCTACTCATCTAGATTAAACCTTCCACCGTAACATACTTGTTTCAATGGATTTAATTAATTTCGTAACTAAATAGATTTGATATATAAAATTTAACTCTTGACGTAAATTAATTAAATTGAGGTGTAAGAAAATTAGTAAGATATATATTACGAAAAGAAGAAGAGTTGAATTGCTCGACCCAAAACACAAATTTGAAGCGGTTAAGGTTGTCTTCTTGTGGAGAGTGTGGCAGTACAACATTTTCAATGATGTCTGTGAGTGACACACACCTTCAACGCGCATGGAGATATGAGTTATGACTTCTCTCGTGTTCATTGGTTTTGGTAGTTTTCGGAAAGAAGCTATGTATTCACCTAAAGTTGTCTTCTACTTACATAAAAACTAATGTGGATATATAAAAACGGACGTTGCCAATTTAACGTAACCGTAAGTTAATTTTAAACAATTTCATCCTCGAGTATATCGATTTGGTCTGCTGTGATAGGTGGTGCTCTTTGTGTGCCAATTGCCAAACAGTTACCCTAAAACATGCAGTTTTCTCCGTGTTACTGATCTTCTCTGTTTACGAGATCTGAAGAACAAATGTACGAAGTGATTTAGCTGATTCAGCGAGATAAAACAAACCGATGTTTTTTTTCTTTTTTGGTTATAATCAGAGAGCAATGTTATTTTAGTTCATAACTGTTTCAGTTTAACCATTGCATAAATATTTGACTTTTTAAAGCGTAGAAGATTTCTGTTATTGATGATATATAGGATAAAAATTCCGATTTAAAGATTTAGATATGTTATTTGATGGTTGTATTGATGTTGTTGTTGTTGTAAGCATGTTGAGACACCGGAAAGATGAACCTTGTCCAATCTTCTCACTGCAACACTCCATTTTTTTGTTAAAAACGGTCAAGCCAATTTGACTACATTTTACGCAACAAAATAATAGAAGATTTTGTTTTACAACTTTAGGAGGAAATCTATTTTTTTTGGATAATGAGTGTAACAGTGTAAGGCACTTTGGGTATTTTAAAATGATGGAGTGTCTTGACTTCTTAATTTAATAAGCACTATTACTACTACTAGTAGTCTAGTTACAAGTCCTTTTGGGATCCAACTCAGAGACTTTGTTACAAAAAAGAGGCCACCTCTAAAATGACCTATAATATATTATTAATATCATGTTCTTTGTTGATGCTTACCAATGAACTATGCAAGATAGTGTGTAATGTCGGATTGGACAGATAGATAGCGTCACTTTTAGAAGGAAAGTGACATTATTGAGACATTTTAAAACCCTAAATTTAGCAGTCGACCACAATATGTCTTTCACTCTTTCCTATTGACGTCTAATCCAACAGTTGACTTTTGGTTATTATTGAAATTGCTGTTGACCCAAAATTCCAACGCAAATTTTGGTCGG